TGTATTTTGAAGGTCGAAAATTATCATGGTTTAAGAATGGCTTTTAATGCCTTTTAAACTAATATAAAATTCTACATCATAAAATTTAAAAATAATGATTGTCTCAAATCACTCATTAGTTCATTCTTTCAGATTGCCATTCTACATTACCAACATAAGATGCATGATATTTACAATTACAATCTGACAAAAATTCAGAGGTTATTAAAAAATATCTAAAACAAATACAAATAAAAGACAACGATGATTATTTTTTAATAATAATAGTAAACAGTTAATAATAATAATAGCACATATTGTGATTGACATGCAGTTTCAATCATTTGATTATGAGCTAAGCATTCATTTATAGAGTCCATTCCTTGGTTAACCTCAACAACACAAAATGGTGTTTTGGCCAATTCTTGTAATGCCATTAAATACATGATAGTTGATACAGATCTTTCCTGTAAAATAATATTTTGTATAAATAATTAATAAAAATCATGTGTTTTTTTCTCTTTTTATCTTACTACTTATACATACATCTACTGATTGCCTTTGACCAATCAATAATTGTAATTCTTCATCATCACTTTTTTATTTAATTTTTTTTTGATTTGTTAATTAATATATTATTATTTTTAATATATAATTTTTTAAAAAACATAAACATGTGCCTATGCAAATGTATATTTTAAAAATTCACATGCCTAAAATTTACCAGAATATTTATATCCCATTTATCATAATCTTCATGAGTGTTGATATGCACTTCACCAGTACATCCGATTTCTAACCAATATTAAAATTTTAAAACTTTGTATATAATAGTGAAAAATATTTATAATGTAATAATGATGATAACAGTTACTATTAAATGCATTTGAAAAGATTTTGGCAACATTTTTAAACCAATTCATATAATTTAGGATCCCGTTGCGCCTATTATACAAAAAATACATTTACATTTATCCTTATGTATGTGTGCATATATAAATGTGCAATGTATGATAAATGATACATTTTCCTTTGCAATTTCATTATTTAGCTCTTTTAATGATAATTCTCTTTTTTCTTTTTGAGATCTAAGGAAAACAATCTAAAAAAAAATTAAATATAAATTAAAAATTTGGATTCCATAACTACAAACAAACATATAAATTATTGATCAATACTTGAGCTTGTCTTTCATTGTATGAATCTATAATGTTAGGATCAACCTCATTATAAAGGTTTATATTTTCTTTTTCATGATCAATAGCATTTCTAATTTCTTCTAATGTCATTTTTTGTGATATCTTAAAAATAAAATAAAAATTATCAAGTAATGTCAAAATTATTTAAAATTATTTCAATATTCATTTTTTTATAATTAATTAATTACTTCTTGAAGTTCTGCTCTTGTCACATCATCAAGTTTATTTATCAACTTATCTGATTCTTGGCAATGATATGTCATCTTTTCTTCAATTTCATCAAATCTTCTGGTGACTTCATTTTTTTAATACAGAAACAAATGTAATTAACATCTATGATTATGACTTAAAGTTAACAGAATTCATGTTAAAACCAACCTTCACCAAGTCTATCAGATGTTTGCCTCAAAATATCTTTCTTTTCTTGTATTTGTCTACCTAACTCACCATCATCTTTCAAAACTTGAGTTAAGTTCTGATCTACTTTATTGCAAATTACATATATATCATTGGTTTTTTTAATAACAATTTTTACCATTGTTATCATTATTTATTATCATGATTAATTTAAAATGTATGACCATTAATAATTAACATAATGAGGCAAAGTATAAAATGAGAGAGGGAAAAAGTGGGAAAAAACCTGGTATCTATTAAAAGTTTTAGATTTCTTCCTTGCTATTTCACAAAGGGTTTCTTCTAGGAAAATTTCTTTTTCTTTAATTGATTTGGACAAATCAATTTCACATTGTAAATCAAATGCAGCCCCCGCAAGTGAATATTGTGCACTTGAAATTTTAGCTTGATATAATTGAATCTATTCATTCAGATTCAAATATGAAATATTATTAAAGATAAATATGTATGTATTTGTGTTTATATATGAATGTGTTTGTAACAATGACCTTTCTTAGAATTGCTTCTCTTTCCTTGAAATGTGTAACATCTTTTTTCAAAACTGCATTTATTTTTTCCAAGTTATTAAGTTCATCATTATCTGTATTTGATTCCTATAAAATGTATAAATATATATATTCAGCTAATCAAATAACATTATATTGAGAAAATGAAAGAATGAATATGAAAAAAAAATTTGAATTACTGATAACAAATTCTTTTGTTCACTAATTAAACGAATAAAAACAAATAAAAATGAACAAAACGAACATAAGGAAAAAAACGAACAAAAGAATAAAACGAGTAAAAACGAACAAAACGAACAAACGGACAAAATGGACAAAACAAACAAAACGAATAAAATGAGTAAAAACGAACAAAACGAACAAAACGAACAAAAACGAACAAAACGAACAAAATGAATAAAACGATAAAAGGAACAAAATGAATAAAACAAGTAAAAACGAATAAACTAATAAAAACTAATAAAATGAATAATAATAAAACAAACGGATAAAACGAGAATAAAATGGATATAAAACGAAGAATTTGTATTATGATAGGAACTCTAGCCCAATTCAACAATTTTTAAACATTTTGCATTTCGTTTTAATTCTCCGCAAATAACTGCGATGTATACAAGCTTTTAAACTTGTTGAACGTGAATTTAATTATGATTCATTGTGACGCGAATTTAATTATGATTCGCTTTAATTATAATTTGTTAAAACAAAGGTTTTTTTGACTGTATGCATATATGTCAGAACCTAAAAACGTTTTTTATTAGAAGTACAAATATTGTTAAAACATGAATCTCTCATTTGAATTTTTTAGTTACCGATTATTTTCGGTGATTTGCAAAAACGTGATTTTATAAAAAAATAGTATCAAATTTCGAGCCAACACTTTTCTGTATGCGAGCTGGCTCGACCTCGAATATTCGAGCTCGACTCGGCTCGTTCGGAGCTTTACACTGGGTAAGTGTTTATCGTAAGAATGGAGGTTGTCACCACTCATTGTCGCTCTAGTTAACATAATAAAAAGTTCTTTTTTTTATTTCTAAAATGCTACCAAAAAGCAGGGACAAGAAATGATGCCAAGCAACCAAATGGGATGATGTTGGTAGGTAAGTATTTATTATAAGAATGGTGGTGGTTATCGCCACTTGTTGTCACTCTAAATAGCAATTTATTAGCACCCAATTTGGTAAGTAAATTACATTTTGATGGAATATTTAGAATCCAATAATAATGTTATCAAAATACTTGATTTTTTTTTTGTAAATGAAATAATAAAAAATTAGAAATTATTACAATATACCATGGGAAACATTTTAGAAATGCTTGATGATGAATCCAAATCTGCTCATTATAATAAAATTGCTGAAAAAAAATGCAGCTGAACTCAAGGATATAGAAGAATTGTTGTTTGAAATTTTGAAGCAAATATATTCAGATGATGTAATGATGAGTATCAAGAAGGTGCAATGGCCTATGTTGTATTAAGGAACTTTGCAACATTAGTATTAATTTGAAAGTATTTGAAAGTGTTATAGATATTCAAATAAGAATTGAATATATTTCCATAAAATTATGAATATTCAAATATGGAGTTAGAGGAACACTACCGGGTCCATGCATTTTCTGTATATAAGTTCAAGATGCTTTAAAAAAATGCTTAATTATCATCATCTCTGAATTTAACATGCTTATATTATCTGTTTGGTTGATAATTCATATAAATATGTATAAAAATCAGATGTTTTGAATTGGTTGTGTTAGATTGAGTACAGTACACTTTGTGCAGTGAGTATAGTACAAACTATTTTTAATCATTTTTAGTAATGATAATTGTACTTACATGCCTTTTTGGGGTGGGTGTGTGAGACTTATAAATTGTACTTACTGTACCCAATCTAATTCTACTTATGTTTGTGCTATACTCACTATACAAAATGTACTATATTCAACCTGCATATACCTGTTTTGAATCCCAACTACATGAATCATTATCATATTTGATAATGATGATCGAAAACTAGTCTAAATTTAGCAATGATCATGGTGCGCAAATTTCTCGTGAGCATAGTAAAGTGCATGTTTTACAAAAGGATAGAACTTTACAACAAACAATTTTTTTGAGAATATCTCATTATTACATTAAAAACTAAAGACCTATTCTATCCACTAATAATGCTATTTTTTTAAAGGTAGGACAGAAAATGTCTTCTATACTTTTAAATTTGCCCAAAATTTAGGAGGTCTTTAGACTGAGCCAACTATAGTATATTATTTTTCATGTTGTGAGATTGTAAACTGTGGACCAACTAATTGCCCGTTATTATTGACCAATTAAAACGAACTTACTACGGAAGTCATGTGATGCGCTAAATATTACATCACGATTAACGATCATCTTTTTATATCTATTGTAACGGTTGCGCCACACATTGCGCCACATTACACGTGTAGATCATTACATCATTTCTATATTTAACTTATCTTTATGACATAATTATTTATTTCGAATTATTAATCAAATTATTTGTATTGCTCAGTTGACCCAAATATTTAGTAACATTAGTAATTAGCAATTCATCCAGAAAATATAAAAAAATTTTACACATGTCAATTGTAAGTTTAATAATAAAAAAGTGTAAAACTTACGTCAGCACTGTAAGATTTACACAATATTACATCGGCATCGTAAGATTTATGCAAGTTTACGCTAAATTAATTTCCTGATGAAACTCACTATGGGGAGTAACATATTTATAGGGACCATACCCCATTTTTGAGTCAAAATCTGTTTTTTATTGCACAAACTCGTACATCGATTTAATTTATATTCTTATTGGTTCAAAAATTTTTTTTTGATTTAATGGATCTCTATTTTAGCAAATATTTAAGAATATATAGAACAAGACCATGAATTGAATGAAGGGACCTGGGAGGACCATTGTATCTCCATACCATTCAACATCAGTAGTAGAGGCATTCCCAAATTAAAATTAATAATGTAAAAAGATAATTGTTTTATTTGTATAGTACCTATTTACCAACAAATTTTAACTAATATTTTTTTTCTATTTAATAATAGGTCTGAAAAGGCTAGCCGTAGCTCAAAAAGACAAAGAAATGAAGTTTCTAGTGATGATAGTAAAGAAAATCATATAGTAGAAAAAAAGGTAAACCTTAATAAATTTTTTTCATTAAAAAAAAAAAAATCTTAATAATTTGCTATTTTCTTGTTCTTCTAGAGAAAAAAGCAAGGAAAGCGTCCTGATGTGATAATTTGTATCTAGAAAGTCAATCAAGCCTGATGTAAAATTTGAATTTTTAGTTGGTGAGGTATGTTCACAGCCATGGAATGAAAAGGAGGATAAAACGAATGGTGATACTGGAAAACTTTTTAGATTAATGAAAGATTGTTATGATAGTATTGCATTGTATTTTTATGAAAAATTTGGTACAAATTATTCTAGTTGTTGGAATTTAAAAAACTTGGAAATATATGGTATCATTGTATCAGGTAATTTAATTAATAATATATGTACAAGGGAATCTTTTCTTTCCTCAAAACGATCTTTATTTTTTTTACATTTGAAAATAGGGTTTGAAATAATAATCTATGTGTTAGATCAGCCAGGATTTGGTGTATATAGAATTCGAAAAGTTGTAAAATTGGAAATTCCTGTAAAAGAAGAAAACAACGATTATTATCTTTATATAAATAAGTTAATGGTAACAATTCATTTTTATAATCGAATTTACTGTAAATATTACTGATGATTGTTACTAATAGTCACTCTTGATAACTGTAGTTTGCGATTAATGAGATGGAAAAACTTGTGGAAAATTTAAACTCGGAACTTAGTAAAAAATCTTCAAAAAAAAATGAGAAAGATTTTTTGATATCATCTTTAGGTAGAACAATGAAATCACCAATGAATTCTTATTATCATTAGTTGTAATTCTCATTAAAAATTTCATATTATAGCAAATTTTAAATTAATAGCAAATTTAAATTAAATATTAATTAAATATTATGATGAGGACTTTTATATAATTTGTATATTAACTAGAGTGACGATGAGTGGCGAGCGATAACCACCACCAACATCCTTAAAACACTTACCCAGTGATGTCTTCTTGTTGAGTTTGTTTGGTTCTTTTTTTAGTATTAGATTTTGACATTTTTTATCAAAAGAAAAGATTGT